TTCTCACTGTAAAACATCGTCACTAAAACATTACCGCCATCTGCTGAGTACACTGGGGTGGGCACTGCACTGAACAGATGGTGGTAGTGTGTAAACGTCAAACGCAAGGGAATTGACTATGCGCGCCACAGGTCACGGTACTACCAACTACGATACTTTTAAATTGTCCGTTAAATGCTTGTTCGATGAACAACTTACGAGTGTTATGTCTGTTTGTCTGTGCCCCTAGTTTTAGTACACCATACAATACCACAGTGATTAGACGATCGCAGTAGGCCGCGCTTGAAAGCTGACATGTTTTTCTTTTGCTGCGTATATTTCACCAGCGAATTAAACATTTTTCGCTTTAAATTTGTTAATTTGTGTCCTGAAATTTAGTTTCAAGTGTTCATAAAGTTATCATTTAGTGATATATCGTGTTTTGCCTGTCTCCAAAATATACGACGCAGCTTCAGTTCCATTGTTCGGTTTCAGTTTTCATTGCCTCCCGGGAGCCCGGTTCTCCGAGTTCGGATGTTACACTTTCGTCATGGATTTCTATTGAGAGATCGGTCCGTTTGGTAAATTAGCCCGGGAATGTGTTGATAATGTGTCCGTCGCGAGTTTTGGTGGTGATTCGGTGACCGACGTCGCCGTGAATCAGCAAGTTTTCCGCTTGCTCGGCTGCTTGTCTCTCGCCGGTGTCGGAGATTGCGAACAATACGAAAGATGCCTCGTTGGATACGCCCAAGACTGGACGGGTGGTAGTTGGTGGCCGCAAACTGTTCCTGGGGAAAGCACTAGACGTGAACCTCCTCCCAGATGACCATGGCAATGCAAATTTGTGTTCGTTGAAGGAAGCATTACGACGACAAAAGTGCATCACGAAATGAGATGTAAAGCTTACAGAAAATCAAAACTACGGAACCCATTGGAGGATCAAACTAACATGGTGAGATCAGTCCAAATACATTTTAGAATGAAAAAAAAAAAAAACAAACTAAATACGTGCCAGGTTTCAAAAGAATATTTTCGAACCTGGAAGCGTGTATGTAATACCAATATCCATTTGATAACGGTGATGCATACATGTGGGGCTTATTGTTAGTGAAAGTAACCTCGGAATGGGCGTGGCTCTCCTGACATTCTGATATGGGTTGCTGGATCTGCAGTGATAACTCCCGGACTAAAGCTGTCTACAATGACCATAAATGCGACATTGTAGAGAGAGTTCTTCCATAATAACACTGCCGGCCAGTGGGGGTTAGAGGGAATACACACACTATATAATACCACAGTATACTACCAACTGTTGGAATATGTGATGAGCAAACAATTTGAGTTCAGTGGAAAATAGGAGAATGGGTACGAGAAGTACAGAGAAAGGGAAACTTCTTCCGCCACTTGCCAAGTAAACTTAAACAAGAGCAGTTGGATTAGCTGAGAACCGTTAAAAGTAAAGTGAAGTAAAGTAAGAGTGTCGTAGTAGCAGGAGTGGAGAGAGAGAGAGAGAGTCAGGTATGGAACAGGGATTGAAGTGGCCACATGTCACAATCGAGCCTAAGACCGTCTCTTTTGTGCCCTTTAGGACCCGTTAGTTGTGAGGGTAGCTTTTGGTGGAGAACTGGCCGCTCGACCGTACCGAGGTTGGATTCGCTTTGGAGTAATTGTTTAATTATCCCGCGTTGTTGCGCTATACCGGTCGTAGTTTCCCAACCATGGGGTTGGAAGCTGGAAGATTAGGATTCGAGTTCTACCCCAAATTGTACCGAGCAGGTCTCCACACACCCGTAAAACCCAAGTCCGCCATATCCAGGCCTGGAACCAAAAATTCTCAGCGGAGCCAACATTTGTTCGCCAGAGTCCGCCATTGTGCTCACCGACCGGCGTCGCCAGACGCTTTCACCGAGTCTTCAGTTGGAAATATCTCGATGAGTTGTAGGTTGTTGTGTGTGTGCCATATTCTGCTGCGTAGAAAGAGCTAGACCTAGACCCGGTTACTACACTGTGCACAATAATCTTATTGGAAGCGGGTTCTCACTGATGAAAAAAGAGAAAAGTGAAAACTTTTGTGAAAACCAAAAATGGAACATGTAACAAAATTATGAAAGATTTTGAACGTTAATAACTCAGCTGCTCCTGGACCAATTTCAATAATTTTATCACCAAACGATCAGGTATATTTCTACGCATCTGCTCAATATTAAACTTTATCATTTTTCAAAACGTTGTGCAACTGTTGCTATGATAATTAAAATTATCACCGATTGCCTGCAAAAAGCGATGTCCCTAACACAGGTTTCAAAGTTGAATTCCATCCGGTCTCACCAAACGGTGTTTATTCCATCACCGCGTTATGAGTGGTGGTTTTCTCCAGTATGCAACGAAAGGCTACCTACAAGCAGCGAGCTGCAGCCCACATGAGCATCCATAGAAGGAGGTAGAAGCCGCACCGCTATTGATCGGAATCAGTAGCTCTTCGTGAGTCGCTGTGGGCCATATATATCAAGCGCGTCATACTGAAGAGTATAAACAGAGAGAACCACGCTATAGTTCCTATTCCTACATAAAATACAAGCTCCTGATGCAGTTAACAAATAAGATTTATTATATAAGACCACCTAGTACTACGTCATCATTGCGTACAACCCCATAGGGCTGTCGCTTGTAGTTTTTTTCTCTCCTTTCTATGTGTCAGTGAATTGATTATCATTGATGCTGTAGTGCTGTGAGTGTACATCATGCACTACCGTAACTACCGTAAACATAGCTGCTAGAGTTCGTTTTTATTAGGTAGAATGTGTAACAGTTGATAAAAAAATAAGAAAGGTAAAGTATAAGTTATGTCCTTCTCACTGTAAATTTCAACCTTCGTCATTTTTAAAAAGATAAAGATATCTCTTTATCATGCAATATTGAGACTATCACTACATTTCTATTCAATTTGCCAATATTATCGACCTACCACCTCCCAGGACACCCCTATACAGAAAATAATGATGCGCCTAGCCACCAAGGCCAACATGTCAAGTCATTATAGTAGTTAATTGATTCAACATCACACTTTATACATTTTGGTTACATATACGACTTGTCCAAAAGTGATTCCAGAGCTCAAACCTCCAGGTACATGGTAAGAAAAAAGATCCCAAAGTGACTCATTTTCACAAATCTCGGCACTATATTGCAGGAAGCCAAAAGTAGGTAATGTGGGTCAAAGAGTTTTTATTTACTTGTGTTCAATTAGTATGGAATTGACAATTCGCTTCTACCCAAAAAATAGTTAGCTGTACCCAAAAGTAGGTGAATATTATTATACTCAACGTGACTATACTCAAAGTCAAAAGTAGGTAAATATGTACTGGCCGCTGGATATTTTTTCTTATCGTGTATGCGTTTCGTTTTTCGAATCATCCTTTTGCCGCCTTCATCATTTGAGCTGATATGCAAATGGCTTCGAGCAGTGCAACCAGAACGACACATATGTTTTCTTTAGAAGATTTCTAGGATCATTTACTTTCATTTTTTGTCTTGAGAAACAAAATAAGAAATTGTTTTAAACATTTATTATTGATGGTTTCTAAATTGAACACAGTTTAAGCCGAGGGGGACGACTCTATCTACGATGCAGAAAAGATTGTGTTTAGCTGTGGCTAGCTGCACGCACGCTGAGTAGATAGAAGGAAGATTTATGTCGATTTTGAAGATTTCCTGCCAAAAGATGAAGCGCGATGCAAGTAGATGCGAGTAATGAAAGATGATTTTTCGAAGATTGATTTTTGAGCATGTAGAATTGAGATTTAAATGTGTCGCCCCCCTCGGTTTAAGCACCTTATAAAGCAATAAAAGCATTGTTTTTACACCCTTTGTTTCAATTAAATCTACAACACTGGATACGATGATAGATGATTCGTACATACACCTTCGTAAAGCGGTGTGTAGAAAAAAGGTAAACAAAACAGTTTCAGCTTGCAAAATTATTCGTGGCTCGCGTTTTTAACAATGCAAATGATATTATTTAAGTAAATATCATTAACAGCGAATTAACTTGAAAGTGCTTGTAGAAGAACGTGTCGTAATTGTTTTTAGTATGGTTCTGAGAAGTGAAAGCTAGTGAAAACAGTTATTGGAATTTCATGCCCTGAGCAGAACAAAATCGGCTGATCGTACTTTTTAATAAATATATTACCAAAGCGTGAATGAATTGGCAATATTTTGGTGGAAAAGTATTGAAATATGTATCCAGATTTTATTCATACAATTCAGGCCAATTTTTTAAGGTATGTAATTAGTAATTTACTGTTTTGTAGGAAGATGTCTTTCGTACGCATACCAAAACACGTTTATTTAATGATTGTAGGGACAGCCATTTTTGCATGACGTGCCGTATCACCTTAACTACCTAACGCCTTGATGACATCCATAGAGCTAACCACGAATGTACGCAGATCGATGAGACCCTCAGGAACTCTTTCTACTTCATCTGTATTGGCTACTGAATCCGAAAAAAACAAAACTGAAGTGGCGGGAAAAGAGATCACAACATTCGAGCATAGAAGTAGACTCCGAATCGCCTAGAAATACGGATGATGGAATATTCGACGATTTTCACTCTTGTGATTTCTAGGTAAATTGGTCTGAACACCTAGAACATACGACTTGTATAAGGTCGTATTAAGCGAACGATAGGCATTGCAAGTCCGGTGAAAGTTGCGTTTCGTTTCAGAGGTTCGATGCCGATGAAGTTTACGCTGGCAGGATTTTTTATCGCGTTCCAAAAGCCGCATGAGAGGAGAACTCTTCTTTCCTTTATTTAACGTCGGTCTTTGTTCCGCAATCTACACGGAAACAAATCCGATTCCATTTTCATGAATAAAAAATCATGAAATCAAAAAACTTGCCATCCCACGAAATCGTAACAATGATTCATGATTTCGTCATGGAAATTCATGGTTTCAAGACCGCTACAAGCGTTACACGTAATTGGCAAACCGTGTTCATAAACCGCACTACATAGGTACCTATTAAAGGGTGTCCACGATGAAATTGCCACACACAAAATTGATTCGCAAAATTCGAGTTTTCATCCGATTGCCATCAAATTTTCAGGGATTGAGAAATAACTATTAAACTTCATTTTACCATTTTACTCGTATTTTATCTACAGTCCATACGCAAATGCCCGCACCTTGGCCTTAACCCCGGCCATAAGATTCTGCACAACCTGTGAATCAACCGTTTTTTGCATGTAAACCCATACTTTCTTCAGTTCCTCGACTGTCTTCACTACCTTAGGTCGTTTAAGAAGGTGCTGCTTCATAATCGCCCAGTACTTCTCGATGGGGCGGAGCTCCGGAGTGTTGGGAGGGTTGAACGTTTTCGGCACGAAATTGACCTTATTGTCCGCATACCACTTCAGCACGTCCTTGGAGTAGTGGCATGAGGCCAAATCCGGCCAGAAGATTGTTGGGACGTTGTGGGCCTTCCGGAGAGGAAGCAGCCGCTTCTGGAGGCACTCTTTTATGTACACCTGTCCGTTCATCGTGTCCTGGGTCACGAAAGGTGCACTCCGCTTCCCGCACGTGCAGATGGCTTGCCAAACCAGGATTTTCTTCGCAAATTTGGACATCTTCTGAGTGCGGACATGCTCCGGAACGCTGAACTTATCCTTGGCCGTGAAAAACAGGTTGCCGGGGATCTGTTTGAAGTCGGCCTTCACATATGTTTCGTCGTCCATGATGCAGCATTCAACTTTCGTCAGCATGTTGAGGTACAACTTCCTGGCACGGGTTTTGGCGGACTTGTTCTGCTTCTCGTCGCGATTAGGGGCCTTTTGTACCTTGAACGTTCGAAGCCCAGCCTTAGTTTTGGCCTTCTGGACAAAACTTCGGCTTAGGTGCAGCTTCTTAGCCACATCCCTAACGGAGGCGTTCGGATTTCGGTTGAAGGCCCCAACTACGCGGTTGTGATTTTTGGTGTTGTACGGAATACTTTTTCCTTCACTTCTGGGCTTCCGATCGGTGGTCAACCGTTCCTCGAACCGCTTAATCACTCGTGACACCGTGGAAATCGCGATTCCCAACGTTTTAGCGATGGAACGATGCGAGAGATCCTTGTTCTCGTGATGAATGCGCAAGATTTTATCACGCACGAGCTGTTCTTTCGACTCCATTTCCGCGAGTTTTGATCACAGGACTTTAAAACTTGCAGGATGTAAATAATGCACTATGAACTAAATCCACCCAAATTTTCATTAAATTCTACCCAACGGTTAAAAAGTTAGAGCAATTTCATAATGTGGCAATTTCATCGTGGACACCCTTTATACGCCTTTTGTCTTCAATCACATACGAGTACTGATAGTCTAGTGGTCAAAGAATGGGTTTAATGATCTCAAGGTTCTTGGTTCGAATCCAGTATGATGCTTTATTTTATTCTTTTTACATTTTTTGGTTAAAAGTTAAACCCATGAATTTAGATCATGATTTCAACTCGGATGATTCATGATTTTGGGAATGTTTGCTGCGTTACGCAAAAGTTGCTCATGCTATCATGAATATTATTCATGGTGTATTTTCATAACATGAAAATACGCTTTGTTCATGAAATCATGAGTCATTTTTCTCATTTCGGAGATCGGATTTTTTCCCGTGTAGTGCCAATCACCGACGGACATCGATTGCTATCCATTGACGGCAATCGAATGTGCAGGAAGGCAGCTACCACACCTGCGTAGGATATCGCACCAATTCCAACACACATGGGCCGGGACCAACGGCTTTACTTCCCTTCCAAAGGAAGACGTGATCAGAGATTGGTATGCCTCAGAAAAATCCCACCGACCTCGGCTGAGATTGAACACAAACCCATTAGGGTGAAAAAGCCACACTTACCACTACAGCACTGGCGCCGGCTGAGAGGAGAACTCCAAACAGAACATTCAGGAGGTTTTCGTCTTGGAGTGTTATCGGTGAGCCAGTTGCGAATTATGTTGCAAAATTGTGCTGCCAAATCGTTAATGTCATTTGTTGCCAGACTAGTGTTCGTATCACAGTTTAACAGGAACTCGTTGAGCATGACGAAATCGATTTTTGAGTAGTCTAGTGGTTGTTGACCAGCAGAGTTTGTCCAGATTTTCCGGAAAAACTGCAACACAATTTAATGGACTTCTTCAAAATTAAATATTCTGAGACATGATTTTTTTTTCGATGTTTAGACAAATACTAAAGCTAAAGATATTTAAAATTTCTGGCCTTTGAAAAACCGTCGAAAGTCTGTCTTTTTTTCTAGTTGCGTTTGGTACGATCCTTTAGTTCAAAAGCTACCAAACGAAGTCAATAAGAAGACGTGAAATGGATGTTTGCACCCATTATTCTCAATAACAGAAAAAGTGCTCCGACCGAATCAATTTTTATCTTCCTTCGATAAACCGAAGTGAATTCAATGCGTTAGACCGAGTGTAGAATTCGTAGGCAGAGTTTGACGTCAAGAATCAGTGTTAGATTTTAAACAATATCTCAACAATTTGTAACTCTTTATCAACTCTTACGGTACGTACGGAAAGGTAAATAAATTTACAATACATCTGCAGTGAAAACATTCCATTTTAGGCCTAAAATTTGATCCAAACCCTGGGTCTAGTTATGAAAATTTCGGAGTTCACAGGGCTAATAAAGAGGCCTTCTGCTCGATTGGAATAACTTTTCCTATGACTTTGACAGGTAATCGATTGCTCCAATTTTGACACGTCGTCTCAAACCATCTGTTGACTACTCTTTTTTTCAATCCACAGCTAGAAAACCGTTCGTTGGATCGCAAATGTCAGCATTACTACTTTGTTTCCCGTGGCAGTCAGGGAACATTGATGGTGACCGGTCACTTTTCCAATTAGAAATATGAATCTCATTTCGCACGCAATCTGCCATCTTTCATTCTCTCTCTCTCGCTCTATCGACTGAGCAGGGAAGGTTGACATGTACCTACCTACATAAAACTAGTGACATAACGTGTAACCGTTTGTCGCTGGTTCCCCCCTCCTCGGTCGGCCCCGAACCCAACCGAAGCCAAGTAGTCATCTAAATAGTCACCCATCACAGAAAGTGTGGCCACACGCCATTAGCATATCGTAAAAGCAGAAGAAAGTGCAACCCCTTTTTCATCCATCGTCGTCGTCGTCACTTGTTAGCCCTGCTATAATCATCATCATCATCATCAACGCCAGTTGTTAGCCGGGTCCGGCCGATGGGGCCCGGAACCGTAACGGAAGGGGAGAAAAGTTTTACTCCACAGCCGTAAAAGTGATATCTTTGGTCCGCAATCATAATTGGTAACTCTCTTCCGTTTGCCACGAGATGGCTCTGAGCTCTGCGCCGGTCGTCGCTACACTCTACCGAACGACCTCCGATGGGTAATTTAAATTGCTAATTTTGTAACCCCTCTTTGGACCAACGGGAATGTCAACTCACCCCCCCCCCCATCTAAAATGAAGAAGAAGTCAAAGCGTAATTTCAGGGGCATTTCCCCTTTAAAAGTGATAACAACTTCCACAAACCGCCACCTTGCGGCGATGGGTAGCAACTCTTTTAATTACAACAATTTTACTTTTATCTAACCGAGCAAAGTTGGCAAATAGTTGCATTTCAAATGAAAAATCGGTCATGTAACGGAAAAGGAAAAGGCAAAAGGACAGTTTTTTTTCAGCCGTGCCCAGCGATCCGAGCATTGCATAATTGCATGCAGCTGTAATTGCGTTAGGATAAGTTTGTATTTCTTTGGAGGTCGGCGCCGTCGTCGTCAACTTGTGGAAGTATAAAATTAAATGTTAGTCTCGGAAAGCTCCGCTAATTAAATAGATAATGTCGAGTCGGATGGGTTCGGTATCCGAGCTTTTTAGGACGCGCAAGAAACAACCGTTACACCCAAACTAGAATTGCAACATTCCGTTGAAAATTTTCCTCGGGTTCTGGTGCAGTTTTAGTAATTCCATAGCGAAATAAAATTTTGGGTGCGTACTCTACGTAGAATATGATTGAGTCCGTGGCGAAAGTGTAGGTGGGTGTCCTACGAGTGCGACAATGACGACGACGGCAACGGAAAGCACTGTCCGACAGCAGTGTAGCGTGGAAAAAACTTTGGCTGGGAGCCAAAAAACTAATCTCTAGAAAGAGAACTTGTTGGAAATTACCGTGCACCATTAGGGAAATTACTAGAAATTGATATAAATAGCGCCCCGTTGGTGCTGCTTACGGTAGAATTAAAAATTCGAAAGCACTTTTTGAAGTGTTGAACTAGAATTCTCAATTGCTTTCACGTGTTGGTCGTGGTGCATATAATTGAAATAGATTGGCATTGTTATAGTCATCGTTAATGGAGGATACATTGAAAAAGCACCCTAGCAGCACACATGTCACTGAACAATTGTGGTTACTTGTGTGCTACTTATTCCAGTCACAATTAAGTTGCAGCAGCTTATTTCGATCGAAGTGTGCTGCTTGGGCAGGTTTCATAAATGTTATCCTCAAGTTTGAGGTAAATGAAATACAAAATCATAGCTATGACAATTTAATTTTTTTTAAGATTTTTATCTGGAATATCTGGAACGTTATAGCTAGACATTTTTGATACAATCAGTTAAGTTATACCTTCCGTGGCAAAAGCTGCTGAATAGCTTGAGTTGATGTTTTGTAGAATTTTACCTGAAAATAGAGAAAAAAAAAATCATTCAGTATGTTGGTGGCTCGTTTTGTATGAAAAATATTTCTCGAAGCATTTTAACCATGGACCCAAAGGGTAAGGACCTCCTTGACGCGATTTTTTTTGGTTCACCTAGCTGTTTTTTTTTAGTGTACCTGGTGCACCCGGTACTAGAGCAAAAGACAGCAATTTGTACCAGAACAGGTGTCAAAAGTGACACAGACAGCACAACTGCCAGCAAAAGCGCCAACAAAAAAAAAAGCGCTGTACCCGCTGCCGTGGCAGTCAGATTGAGGTGTGTCATATCCCTTAGAACGTTTCTTTTTGTTTCGCCATTTTGAGATTTGAACTCGTGACTTTGGCGTGAGAGGCATGGATGCTAACAAAAAAAAAAAAAAAAGCGGAACTAGTTAAAATAGTTAATTATCTAATCTAATAGTTCATTAGCTCCAGGGCTCTTGAACATCATATATTTGGATTGTCCCCAGGAGGATTGTCCGCAGGAGGATTGTTCGAAGAACGATTGTACCCAGGAAGATTGTTCGAATAAGGATTGTCCGCAGGAAGATTGTTCAAAGGAGGATTGTCCACAGGAAGTTTGCTCGGGAGAAGGTTGTTCGAAGGATTGTTCGGAGGAGGATTGTTCGCAAGAAGATTGTTCGGGAGAAGATTGTACGAAGGAGAATTGTCCGCAGGAAGATTGTTCGGAGGAGGATTGTTCGAAGGAGGATTATCAGCAGGATTGTCCGCAGGAATATTGTCCGCTACCGACGAGTCGAGGAGAAAGATTATCCGTAGGAAGAGGATTGTCCGCGGGAGGATTGTTCGAAAGAGGATTGTTCGAAGAAGGATTGTCCGCAGGAGAATTGTCCGCAGGAAGATTGTCGACAGGAAGATTGTTTGGAGGAGGATTGTCCGCAGGAAGTTTGCTCGGGAGAAGGTTGTTCGAAGGATTGTTCGGAGGAGGATTGTTCGCAAGAAGATTGTTCGGGAGAAGATTGTACGAAGGAGAATTGTCCGCAGGAAGATTGTTCGGAGGAGGATTGTTCGAAGGAGGATTATCAG